GAGACATGCCGATCGTCGTGTCGGTCGCGGCTCGTTCGAACGAGGCGCGCCCGGACATTACGTTACGAAATCGTCCCCGTAGCCTTCTCGCGAGCCTCCAAGGCGCTCGTAACCCTGGAGCCAAACTCCAGCGTAAACAGCGAAGAAGCACCGCACCTACCACACACACACACACACACACGCACACGCACACGCACGCACACACACACACACGCACGAACACAGCCAGATAAAGAGAGAGAGAGAGAGAGAGAGAGAGAGCGAGGGGTTGCGACGAGGAGGGGAGGGAGTAGCGGAGGAGCCGCTGCTCGGGCAAGGACGAGGATGCAGGATGGTGCGGGCGCCCACGCGACCGGCTTGGCACCCGTCTACGTCGTCGTGGAGCGGCCGTCTATTAATAGCCGGCGCTCGAAAATAAACCGACCCCGTCCTTATACGAGCCATCCTCCGTCCCGTCCCGTCCCATTCCGTCCCGTCCCGTCCCGTCCCGTCCCGTCCCGTCCAGTCCCGTCCCGTCCAATCCTCGCCCCGTCCACCGCGCCCACGCTTCCTCCTGCGCACGCGCCACCCCCACCGCGGTGTATTTTTGTATCATTGACATCACTCGGCTCATTGTCTCCACTCCTGCATTCCGCGTGAATCAGTTTGAGAATCGGTGGCCGCCTCCGGAGCGAGCGCCCGGTTATAAATAGCGGCGCACCCACTCCAAATAAATAAAGCTGGAATTTCCTCGGCGATAGGCCAATGCCGCTCGGGTAATCTCGCTCGGGTTACGCGATTACGCTTTTATTTTCGTACGACCGTGCATTCCGGGGGAATGATCCCGGCCGACCTACGATCGAAGAGCTCGTCGCCTCACGTCACCTCGTCGACGTCGACGCGAACACGGATAACCTAACCTCGGATTAGCCCCACGGACTCTCGGCCCTTCCGAGCGCGAAAACGACGCGCGGATCATCGGCATCCGCCCGCTCTATATTTACGAGATCGACCATTAATCGTCGATCTCCGGGTGTCCGCTCTCGACCGCGATTAGCTCCATTTCTCCTTTGGATAATCAACAGGATAATCCTTGCTTATTTTAGACGCTGCATGCTAAATTTAGCGCCTTCCCCGTTATTTTCACCTCCTTACGTATCCACTTCGGCTTCCTTCCGACACTTTTGCCAACAATTATTGCTTTCCACGGGCATAAATAGTGGCAGAGTTGTAAAGTCTCGGCATCGATCGTTCCTTGTCCCAACGATGCTTCGCTCCTTTTCTTCCTTTTTACCCGTTTCATCGTCTCTTCTTTCTCCTTTCTTTTCCTTTCCTTTCGTTCTTTTTTTCATTTTTCTCTCTCCTTTGCTTCTCTTCTTCTCATCTTATATATATATATATATATATATATATGTGTGTGTGTGTGTGTGTGTGTGTGTGTGTGTGTGTAATAACGGCGAGAACGATGCTTTGCCTAATATTTAGTATCTGTTGTCCGGGCACGTGCTTCCTCGTGCAATTCGCATTCAAGAAAAGGAAATATTATAATTGCAGTTAAAATCTACATATCGCCAGCCATTCCAAATCCAATAGATCTAATGACATTGCAAGCACATTAGACTATACATACATACATATATGTATAAATTATTTCGACTCGGATAGAAATTAGATCTCGTCGATTGATTCGCTTAAGCCTGACTTATTAAATCCCGTCCTTTCACTTATATACGTCTGTAGCCAAATATAACATTATTTACACATTTGAAATTATTAATTTATATTTAGAGAGGCTTATGTCCTCCGATATTTTTAGAAAGATATAAATTCAATCTTTTATGAATAATAACATGAACATAAATTAAGAGCATTCCAGAATTTTTAAAGGAATTACCGATAAAATTTTTCGCTTCTTCGATAAGGTCTTCTACATAAGATACTCTCAACATTATCATAACCAATAACTGTTAAGATATATCTACCAATACTTCACGGATATTCAAAGGATTATCAAAAATTAATAAATAAATAAATAAAATGTACAATAAATATGACCTGTTTACCTACAATTTTTTCATTAAAATAACGATCGTAAGGAAATAACGATATAATGTTTGAACGTATGATTAATAATAATAATAAATTTTAAATCAAGTACAAATAGAATAATATGATGATCGTGTTGATAATGATGATGACAATGATGATGATAACGAGATAAAATAATAAAATATTTAATATAATGAAATTTCTCGAATATTTATAGCGATATAATAATTAGTTTTCGAGGAGAATAGATCAATCTAGTTGAATATGCCATCCTGATTAATATTAAGACAATTGAATTAACAAATATATGCTATATAAAGTTAAATATCGGCTACGTATATATTCCATAATCTAAATATCTTTCACAATCCATGCAAATATTCATAGAAATATATCATACATTTGTTTGTCATGATTCGAAAAATAAATATATATATATATATATATATATATATATATATATATATATCATTTCAGTGATAAAAATAATGCAAATGATAATTTATTACTTTAATTATATCAGAGAACAAAAGCAGACAAAAAAAATTCCTATCGTCGTTTTCTTTTCATCCACATTTTGTTTATCCTTTTCCTTAACATAACGTTTAAGATAAATACATTTTCACAACATCAGAATCTATACGCAAAATACACATCTATATAAACAAATAGTTAAAAACAAATATTATACATTGTTGTTGACGTTATTGAAGATGGTTTATTCGTTAAATAGTTAAGTGTGAACTAAACATTCGATGGAATATTCTAAAATGCTAGCAAATTCCGAGAATGTAGGGGATTTAACATAATGTGAGCTAAGCAAAACAGAATCGTTTGATCTATAATTACCGCTTATTCATCGCAAATAAGTTACATAAATATTCCCGTTGTATCATTAATCGGTCATTATAATCGAATGGATGAGTATTTTGCGCAGATCGTCTGCCTAATATTAGAAATTATTGTAAGCCTGCAATGTATGTTGTTAAGTTATGTAAACAAGCAGATGTTGTTCCTCTCTCGCGGTTATACATAGAAAAATTGTTGTTGAAAAATCATTGCTCATTTGGATAATTTGCACTAATTACATCAACATGCTGAAATGAAAAAGTCTCTCATTAATAAATTATTGATCTCCACATTTACTGTCAATGGCCAACGACAATTTATGCGTGCATATCTAAATTGAAATACATCGAAATTGAAAAGGAAATCGATGTACCACTTGTTTTATTATTATATCTATTGGATATTAATTTTTTTAATATTTATTCACTGAGTTATAGAATATATTCGTTAAAAATAAAAAGTGATAGATGTATAAAAAACAATTTTTATAGGTATATCAATAAAGATTAATGATAATAATTATAAGAAAGAATGTAGAAAATTGAGTGACGATTCTATGAAATTGTTTTACGAAAAAGAAAGAAGTAAGGTTATTAATTAAAATATTACATTAATTTTGCATGACATGTACATTAATTGCTCAATTAAGCCTTTCTTGGCTGGATAAATGGAATATCGAAAAGTTTTGTATTTGCATTTCAAGAATTTACTAGATTTTTTTTTATATTGAACAATTTAAGGTTAAAGTTAGATATTATTTCGAAAATTATGGGCGCTAAAGGAACTTTCAAATTTTTTTTATTTGAAAATTCAAACTTTCAATTAAAAAATTGCATGATTTTAAATCGACATTCTATTTAAAAGTTATTGCCTTCGTAATATTTTTAAGAAAGTACAGAGAGACGCATGAATGAAATTGCATACACACATGCACCCAGGCGCGCGCGCGCGCTCACATATCCACGCAGGCACACTTATTGATAGCCTAATTATAATTTATTAATATGCATACCTGCAAGGTGTGAAAGCAAAATTTAATATTTAATTAAATTTTGACACTTTTTAATATGTACTTTACCATTTCTTTCTTCCGTTAAGTCGTCGAAAGCCCGCTTCGTTCAATATTTCAAAGAGACATATATTAATGCCAATGATTTTGCAAAATAAACTTCATCATATCGTAATTCATGGTAATCAAATCCAATCCAACACAAAGTACCGGACACACCACTGTTTATAAATTTATTAGAATTTTCTGCGGAATATTATTATATTCAGCACATACGCGTAACCGGTTTATCTACGTTAAAATATAAGAGGAAGCACAAAATTGCCAAAATTCAAAGATACTAGATTAAATGATCTTGAACTTTTGAAGAAACATTTACTTATACATGTAAATCTAATTTAAGGAGAGAGAGAGAGAGAGAGAGAGAGATGCTGGAGATGGGAAGGGTGAGAGGGAGGGTGGGAGGTAGTTCAAAAGATAAAATGTAAAAATGGTTAATAATAATATATGATATTACGTCGGTTGAGCTTGACAGAAAGAAAAGTTATGGGTAAGGATAATGTTATTCCAGTGCAGCAACGTGTAATGCTGCGCCGTTTCCACCCACTCGATTTAATTGTTAAACTAAAAGTGGATTAGTTAATGAGGGCAGAGAGGATGAAAAGTGCGATAAGGCGAAATAAAGAAAAATAAGACGAAACTTACTTAGTATCACCGAGCAATATCCGTTTTCCCAAGAAGAAAATAATTCAGCGTGCGCTGCGTATCTGCTTGGAAGGAGCGAGCGGACGAAGTCACGAAGTCGAGCGCAGATAACGACAACAAAGGTAAATAATGAAGATTGAAACAAAAGTTGGATTAAAACAAGCAAACAAACAAACAAGCGCAAAAATGGAGAGAAGGAAGATTTAAGAAGTAAGTGAACGGTGAGCCGAGCAGGGAGAGAGCGAGGATTATATCACTTATAAATATCACAGTTGGGCACGTTGTTATGGGACTGCACGGAGCTCCGAAGGATCTCCCACATCAGGCAGGAAAGAGCACGCCTTGTGTGCATGTACACGTCTTTGCTTCGTTCGGAGGATATGTTAGAGAGAGAGAGAGAGAGAGAGAGAGAGAGAGAGAGAGTAAGAGAGAGTAAGAGAGAGTAAGAGAGAGTAAGAGAGAGAGAGTAACAGAGTAACAGAGTAACAGAGTAAGACAGTAAGAGAAAGAGAGCCTGAGAGAGAGACAGAGAGAGAGAGAGAGAGAGAGGAGCAGAGGAAGAGACTAAGAGAGGCAGGGACAAAGAGAGAGAGAGAGAGAGAGAGACAGAGAGAGAAGTGTAGAGAGGAAAAGAGAGTACTACTTGTCTCTGTCTCCCATTCACACAAATACAAACTTTTACTCTCTCTCTCTCTCTCTCTCTATATATATATATATATATATATATATATATATCTCTATCTATTTATCTATCTCTTTCTCTCCATTCCGTTTCCACTCCTCACTCCTGGCTCAGATGACGAGAGATGCATCGCAGGCGCGGCGCGTCTTCCCTACGATCAGCTGTAGCTGACTTTTCGACACGATCCTCAGCCCTTCCTATAGCCGGGGATACATTAGTCCGACGCCAACACTTCCTTCTCCACACCCAAACACGTGTATCGTTAAATGGGCCATCCTCCTCCTCTACCCTCCTCCACCCGCAACCCCCAACCGCTCCCTAACTGCCATCTTACCCTATTTTACGACTCCACCGCAGCCTCATTCGTCTCTCCCCCTTCTTACGACACGGAGACACACACACACACCCACCCACCCACACACACACACACACACACACACACACACACACTCTCTCTCTCTCTCTCTCTCGCGCGCGCACACACTAGCTGTCTCTCTCCCTCTCTCTTCCTCTCTCTCTCTCTCTCTTCCCCCCTCCCCCCTCTCTCTATTGCTCTAAATCTCTCTCTCTATTTCACGCGCAGGCACACACGGCGGACAAGCCTCCTCCTCTTCTTCCTCCTTCCTCTTCCTTTCTTCCTAGCCTTCGGATGCCTTGGCCCTCGTAAAGCGCACCCAGGACTCGTCGCCTCGTTCTCCCCTCCCTCGCTCACTTCACTTTCTCTCGTCCTTCCGCTCCTTCTCGGCTCCTACCTCCCCCGCCGGGCACATTCTCGGCCCGGAACCGGAATCGGGTCCCTTCCCCGGCTCCGCCGCCCTCTGCCCGCTCCCGCCGCCCAACTCCCTCCACGCACTCCCTTCGTGACCGCCACCACAGCCGTCGCCGTCGCCACCAACCTCACCCACGTAGATCGGGCTGGCCCAGCAACAGCTGATCGTAGAACTGACACCGGGGCCCGGGGCACCCCGAGCACGAGGTGAACGTGGAGGAGGACGAAGCGGGAGGGGAACGAGGGTAGCGGTGAGGTCGGGGAGAAGCCGATGGAGTGGGCGTGCGCAGGTTGCTGTGGTTATTCGCGAGGCCGAGGACCGCGACGCGTTCCTAGAGGTGGATGTACTCTGTGCGCCCGAGCCTCCACGGACAACAGCCGGCGAGCGAGTCTCGCTGGCTTCGACGGCGCCGCGCGATGTGGGCAGGAAGAGAGGAGTCCGACGAAATCAAACACGATGACGTAGAGCACCGGGGGGAAGGCCAACGCTCACTCCGCGAGAATGCTCGGAGGAGGGGTTTACCGAGCGATAAGCGCGCGAGGTGAATGACGACGACGAAGACGACGAGCATCAATTTCGTCTTCGTCCAGGCAAGGAAGTCGCACATCTTGTCGATCGGTTCGATTCTGCCAATGCGAGGATCGCCCTGAGAGTCAAGTGGCGACTTATCAGCCGAATCCGCGAGACGAACAAACGACGTAATTCTTCCTTTACGTTCCTCGTCTCTTCACGGTCTCATGGAAAAATGTTAATATCGTTAAACGTAGTTAGCTGGACCCGTTAACTCTGTAATTACATTAGCCTGGCTCACGGCCATTCGTCTTAATAAATAAAATCTTGTATATAAATAGAATTTAATGAACAATATAATAAACTTGATTTGCCGGATTTCTAAAAATAGACATATTTACTTTGACTAGTTCGCTAATATGACTATTAGAAAATAATAAATTCAGTTACTCGATTTATAATGAAATTTCCGCGCCGCAATGACTCGTAACGCGAAAAATAAAAAGGAAAAAAAAGGAAAAAAAAAACAGACGATGGCAATTAAATTTTACGTATCCATCATAATACTAAATCAATAAAGATTATATACATTTAATTATATATATATATATATATATATATATATATATATATATATATACACATGTGTGTGTATATAATATTGAAATATTTAATTAATCGAATTTTATGGGCTTGAATGTCATTAGTTATGATGAAAGAAGCTCATTTATTAATTAAAGTAATGAGAGATGCGAGAAATTATAGTACGAAGTAACATAAATACTTTTCAATCGTAAGAGCATCGCGTTGCAAATGTAAATATTTAATATAAATTATTAACAATTTAATATGGCAAGATAAGAAATCGAATAATCTTAAACGGCAACGTAATCTTCAAATTTCAACAATAGCCAATCCATTCAATTTTTATCAACTTATTTGGATTTTTATTGCACGTATAAACGAATGAGAAAAAACGGCAAAATGTCGTGCATTAAATAAAGACAAAAACGACATTCTCTTATATCCTACGCATATAATAAATAAGTTACGCATAAAAGATTTATGAATAAAGAATATTTCATCGATATTTACAGATTGAAACAACATGACTGTTTGTTTTAAAAAATAAAATTGTACAGGTAAATGAAAAATCAATATTGATTCTGCCCGCAAAATAGATTTTTTAAGTTTTTTCATCCACTGGATTAGAACTAATGGACAAATAAAATATTTCTCGATAGAAAATCAAAAATTTAGGAAAAGCCTTTATGCAAAGTTTTATGCGAAAATTTCCTCAATACAATAATATCATTAAATAATTCGACGGATAGTAAATTTTTCTACAATAACATTATCAATTGGAAATATGTAAGAAAACATGAATTTTATGATAATCTCCTCTCACATTAATTACATTAGTAAAATGTTTAATAGCTTATTCCTTTAGTATTATATTCCATAATGATAAACACAAGTATTGATTGCATCAACTTGATGTAATCACGGAGCTTATTATTAAAATCATATAAGTAGGCCTCCAGTAATGCAAAATTATACTTGATTAATTATTGATATAATCTGTACTTATTTGATAAAAATTGAAATATCAAAATAATAACATTTTGTTCTCTTTATAATAACTTTAAATTAATGAAGCTTATATTGTTAAGAACGTACAATACGCATTGAAATATCGTTGTATGTCGCATGAATATGAGAAAGTACGTAGATATTTCAATTGAAATGAAGAATTAAAATTTGCGGTCGAATTAAATGGATATATATTAAATATAATCAATGTGTTGGAATTGTATCGACCTTATCTATTTGTCTATTTAACATTTATATAATATTTCTTATTTATTATTAGTCCATTACTCTCTCTCTCTCTCTCTCTCTCTCTCTCTCTCTCTCTCTCTCTGTGTGTGTGTGTTCATTATTGTATATATTTTATCTCATCTATGTTGATATATACATTATAACACGAATAATAATAACAATTTTACAAAGAAATTTTTCTAATTTTTATAACGCATTTGCGAAAGCTAAATATATTTAAATAATTGAAATCAGCCATTGTAGTTAAATTGTAAGAAACAATACAATTTTAGAATCAATCAATTATTATTAATACCAATGCTAACGGCATGAATTATTTATCACCATTGTTTTACCGAACTTCATGTCGGGGAATATCGGACCATTAACTGTTTTTTGTTTATCAATACACGCGGTAAAATTCCTTTCTTAATTTCTCTTTCGAATCAAAAAGACGGATTTTTGTAAACATTCATATATGCGAAACATACAAAAAAATCATATTAATATATAAAACATTATTTTGCAAATTACTTCTTTCGATGATAAACAACCGATAGAAATAGGATAAGGATTTTGGCATTTTAGGGAACAAATGTAATATACTCGCATCTGTTGATAAGATATATGGGCAAATAAAATTTTTGCATTAGTTACATATTCAAAATTAATGTCTCGTAACTATTGTTAAATTGACCATAATAAATAAGAGATAAAAATGTATAAAAATGCCAATTATTTTGCAGATTAATGTTGCAAATACATAAGCTGTGCATAGCTTACATTAATTTTCATAAAATATTGTTAATCAGAATCAGATATATTTCTAAATTAATATTTATAATGAAAATATATAAGCGTGCAATGGTAATAAATTAGAGAGAACATTAATTTACAATAATTGAGCTGTCGACATCCTCGATAAATTAAAGAGACGAACTAGGCGGTAATGGAAATCGAATTGGAGGTCAGAAGAATGAATTGTACTCAAAGTCCATCAGCACTTTAGCAAATGAACCTCAACAACAACGTCATTTCTCGCAAATATTTAAATAAATACATCATGTTACAGTACTCCTTTCATTAAGAGGCAGAAATATATATTTATCGTTCGAGAGCTCAAATATATATCGAGCTGTTATTTGAAACGAACGAGTGCCCATTAAATGTAAACTCATTTGTATTTTTACGGAATTTTGTCGTTATCATCGTAGGTACAATATTAAATATTATAATTTATTATCATTATAGACCATAGACTACGTACGCGTATACACGCACGTGTGTGCGTGTACATATATATATATATATATATATATATATAGAGAGAGAGAGAGAGAGAGAGAGAGA